AAAAAAAAAAAGAAGTAAAGCTGCTGTGAACACATGTGTAAGTCTTTGGGCATATGATTTTGTTTTCTTTGGGTACATACCAAGAAGTGGAATGGTTGGTTCATATAGTAGGAATATGTTTGATTTTTATTTTTAAGATTTTATTTATTTGTCAGGGAGAGAGCGAGCACAAGCAGAGGGAAAAGGAGAAGCAGGCTCCCTGCCAAGCAGGGAGCCCCATGCGGGGCTCGATCCCAGGACCCTGGGATCATAACCTGAGCAGAAGGCAGACGCTTAACCATCTGAGCCACCCAGGCGCCCCTATGTTTGACTTTTAAAGAAACTGCCAAATTGATTCTTTTTCAAAGTGGTTGCGTCATATACATTCCCGCCAGCAGTGTATGAGAGTTCCAGTTTCTCCACATTCTCATTATCAGTTGGTTTGACCTGTTTTAAAAATTTTAGACAATCTGATGGGTGTGTAATAGTATCGCCTTGGGGGTTTAATTTGCATTTCTTGGAGGACTAAAGATTATCTTTTCCTGTACATATTGGCCATTCATATATCTTCTTTGGCTGAATGTCTGTTCATATCTTTTGCCCAATTTTTTATTGGGTTGTTTGTTTTCTTGTTAACTTGTAAGAATTATTTATGTATTCTGGATACAAGTTCTTTGATATGTATTACAGATATTTTTTTCCGGATCTGTGGCTTGCTTTTCATTTTCTTAATAACATCTTTCAAAAAAACAAAAGCTTTGGGGGCACTGGAGAGGCTCAGATGGCTAGGCATCTACCTTCGGCTCAGGTCATGATCCCAGGGTCTTGGGATCGAGTTCTGCATCAGGCTCCTGGCTCAGCGGGGAGTCTGCTTCTCCCTCTCCCTCTGCCTCTCCGCCCTGCTTGTGCGCACACACTCTCTCTCTCTCAAATGAATAAATAAAATCTTAAAAAAAACAAAAACAAAAAACAAAAGTTTTTAATTCTGATGAAGTCCAATTTATCAGCTTTTTCTTTTTATAGTTTATGCCTTTTGTGTTCTAAGAAACCTTTGCCTATGCTGAGGTTGCAAAGAAGTCCGCGTGTTTTTTCTGTTCCAACCTAGATTTATTATCAGAGGGTACAATTTTGATATTCCCATCAAATTTCCACACTAAACCGACATATTTCATGTTTTTTAATCTAACAGTAAAAATAATTTCACTGAACTTTTGAGGACCCCAAAATGAATTCTATATGGGTGTGTTCTGGGGGTATTTAGCTTAAAATCCTAAAGCAAAAGTCAGAAATTAAAAAAAAAATAAAGAGAATGAAGTAAATATGGCAAAATGATGGTAACTGTTGAATCTAGGAGATGATTATATGAGAATTTGTTAAACTTTGCTTTCTACTTTTGTGTATATTTGAAAAAGTTTTATTTAGAAAATTCATATGAGAATTGCCCTCTTGAGGGGTTATGTGCTGTGGTCACAGGAGTCCCCTGGGAGGCTCAGGTGCTTCCTCTTTTTGTGTCTGTGTCTCTTACAGCCCCAGACATACTTATTAATGCAAGAGTGCTTCTGTATTCTCAGTTCAAAGCCATTTTCCAGGTTTAAATGTGGGTAAAAGACAAAGTTTGGTGCAGAGGGAGGAGGAAAATGGACGAAATGTCTTGTGTTTGCTTTGTAGATCACGTTGCTTTACGACACCCTCGCACTGGCTCCGTGATGATTGAAGCGATGTCTAAAGTCTTTAAACAGTACGGAAATAAGTGGCACATCGCTGACTTCTTCACCAAAGTAAGTACACTCCAAGAGAACTCGTGCTCCATTCGTGCTGACGGTAATGCACTTGATGAGAGCATTTTCAGGAGAAGGTTGACTTTAGCCATGAAAACACAAGAGATGCTGAAAAGTTGCTTGGAAATGATGGGCCAATCATGAGTTTCGATGATGGTGGCATTCAGAAAACATGGTTGAGCCAGCTGCTGAGGGAAACGGATAAGTGACACTTTCTGTTCATTTGTAATACAAGTGCATTGGATATGAGGTGAGCTTTCAAGTTCCTTCCTGCTCTGTGGCCCACCATTGCAGTCAGCTTTGGCCTGACTCAGGACTTCTTTAATGACCGACTCTGGCTCACATTTGTTTCCCCATTTTGTAGCCCATAGTAAACATTCACTGAATGAATGGGTGCCCAATAATGGCAGTAGATTTATACACGAACCATAGTTTGTGGAGAATGGCCCAATTATTGTAGTTTATCATATCAGGATTAAAGGGCAATTTTCTTCTCAATCTGAGAGTTTTACATCCAAAGAAAGCTAATTAGAAAAGACTGTCAGACTACAGTAACATGGGGCACCTGGGTGGCTCAGTTGGTTAAGCGTCTGCCTTCAGCTCAGGTCATGATACCAGGGTCCTGGGATCAAGCCCCACATCCGGCTCCCTAATCAGTGGGGAGTCTGCTTCTCCTTCTGCCCCTCCCCCTGCTCCTTCTCTCTCTCTCTCTCTCACTCTCTCTCTCAAATAAATAAAATCTTTATAAAAAAAAAAGTACAGTAACAACAATGCTAACATCTGTTATCTGTTGCATGGCTCACTCCATGTCAGTTACTATTCTCTGTGCTACACAGATATTAATCCATTTAAGCCTTCCACACCCCTCAGGTAGCTACTGGGATTCGCATCCACTGTGACAGGTGGGGGCTAGTCAGTGGCTGGGCTGGCATTCCAGCCTGGGCAGAGTGCTTCTAGAGTTCATGCTGTAATCACTAAAAAAATGTTTTGCCTACCAATGTTCATTAAACCTTTACTGAACACCCTTCATTTTTATTTTTATTTATTTTTAAAGATTTATTTATTTATTTGTGAGAGAGAGTGAGTGCATGGGAGGGGCAGAGGCAGAGGGAAACAGAATCCTCAAGCAGACTCCTTGCTGAGGCGGGGCTCGATCCCTTGACTTTGAGATCATGATCTGAGCCTAAACTGACAGTTGGCCGCTTAACCGACTGAGCCACCCAGGCACCACCCTTCATTTTTGAAGCACTTGCTGAGTAGGCCCTAGCAAAAAAAAAAAAAAAAAAAAAAAATCCAAAAATGAGCATGATGTGGCCTTTGTATTAAAGGCACATACAGCTTAGTTAGGTAGCAGATGGTAAATGTGCTTATAACTTTATAACCAACCCCAAGATTGTGGAGCTGTGGGATGTTTTGGACATAGCATTATCCAACCCTTTCATTTTACCACGTGTTCCCAAGGCTTAGAAAGGGTTAATACCTTGCCTTCTATTACCCCAGGGCAAGTTGAGACCAAATCTAGGTCTGTGGACCTGAGTCTACTGCTCTTCTCATCCAGAGTGCTGCATTCCAAGCACTTGGTGGGACATGCTCTTTCAAATGCCATTTGCATCACTTTCCGGAATGCATAGAATTTGGCCATTTCACTCTGTAGGGTTTACGAAAAGGCTTTTGCTCAGGGCTTTTAGACAGTTTGTGCTTTAATCTTTCAGGTGAATAATAGAGTGGTGCACACTGAATTTCATCTACATGAAGAACCAATTAAAGTATCACTCGTCATGGAATCAACTTTAACTAAATTTGTGTACTTCTGACATCAGGAAGATGAAAAACTAAGGACTGCTTTGTAACAGACTTTGTAAAGAGCTGAGAGCATTTGTAGCATAGTACTATTAGTTACCATTTTGCATTATTACTGTCAACAGCTGTATTTCTCCAAATCGTTTTGCATATATATAGTATTTTTCTAAGATTGAACCGTGCTTATTTGACACTTAGAAATAATTTGACTTCTTTTAAAAGATCACTGTTTTTTGAAAATGATTTTTCCTGAACTGTTATCAAAACATGGAAGTCCAGCTCTATTTGTGGACCATTTTTATCATGTGCTTTTTTTTTTTTTTTTTTACTGATTACACCCCATCCTCTTCCACTTGGTGCTGGTGTTCATCCTCATTTTCTTGGCTGTCTTCAAGAACTGTCTTTATGTAGTTTTGTCCTGTTTCACCTGATTTCCCCCATATTCTTGTCTGTAGCCAGACTTGTCTCCTTTTGACTCCATAAGCCATTCTCTAGTCTTCCCTGGATGTTCTCATTTGCAGTTTGTGCCCTTGATGCCTCATGTTTCCACCTTCCTCCATCCCCCAGCTTCCTCCCGGCTGCAGAGTACCTTTGAACTGCTATTTCCTCTGCCTGGAACACTCTGTTCCACCCCAATCTATTCAGTCCTTCAGAGTTTGGCTCAAGCACCCTTTGCACAGGGAAGCTTTTCGCAACCCCTCATGCTAGGTCAGCCTTTTCTACGTGCTCACAGACCCCATGCTTTTCTTCTGCAGCAGTTAGCACTACTGTACTTAAGTGACTATGTAGTAGCTGTTAAATCTCTCTCTTCCAGTTCAGTCATAAGCTCCGAGAGGCAGAGGCCATGTGTCTCATTCATTGGTGTGGCCCAGCTTCTGTCCTTGCCTAAAGACACAGAGAAGCGCTGTGATGAATGTTTACTGAATGACCGGTCTCTGTCTTTCAATTATTTTGTCCATTCCTCAGACCTCACCTCATTACCTCTGTGCATCTAGCCACCTTCTAGTCATCCCCACCTACTTGGATGTCCTGTGGCCAGTTTAACTGAACAAGTTGGAAGTCGACCTTATGTTTCCCTTAAACCTCTTCATAATACCCATCTTGTTGTTAATAATCCTTTGACTCCCCACTGCCGGCAGAATATACTCAAATTCCCCTAGGAGAATATCCCAAATCCTTCTCTGTCAGGCCTTAACCTATACTGCTTGTATACTGCCTACTTGTCCTGGGTCTTGACCACTCCAGGTGATTTGCCCTCCCCTCAATAACGCCCTCTCACAGAATCAGGCTTGTGGATTACTGAATGTTGAATGAATGCTCTTGGCTATGTTATCATAGTTCATTCTCTCCTTTCTGCCTGAAATGCCCTTTGTTCTCACTGTATGCTTCCTCTATACCATGCATTCCTTAGGGTGCAAGTTGGGTCCCATCCCACTAGAATGAAAACTTGTATGTAGGCCAGTGTTTTTAAAGTAACAAACTCCGGACTGAGCATGAGTTTTCATTGTAACTGTGTTCTAACTTCCGGTGTAACTTTGGACTATATTAAACCCCGGTTTCCACATCACAGCCGGAGGTCTGGTTCGGCTGGGAACTCATTCCACTGGACTTCGATGAACTTTGGCTTCTTAATAAACTGTTCGTGAATATCCTGCAGGTGTGGCTATTCCTGAACCTAGAGGTTCACACTGGCAGTTGCATAAGACTGTTGGGCCTGTACAAGGTTACAGGTGTTTGGTGAAAATGCTCTGAAGATTGAGGGTCACGATGACTGAAGCAACCCGGAATCTCCAGGCCTGTCTCCATCTCAAGAGACAGTTATGTCCTTTTTAGTTAATGTGATTTCTCAAGTATACATATGTGTGCTTGAATTTTCTAAACTTTGAGTTTTGATATTTGGTATGTAACTTTGCTTTTTTATAGAGCATTAAACTGTCACCTTGGTTCATAAAATACCTGGTGAGCCTTCTCTGTTCACTTGCATGCTGTGTGATCCTAGGATTCCCGGCACAGGCGCTCATTTCAGGGGAACGGCAGCAGCTGAAATAGGCAATAGCTCTCATTTCCTGAGAGAGGTTAAAGGACTTCTTCAGAGTCACACCATGTGGCGAAGTTGGGATTCTAATGCATGAGCACTTAACCGACTGAGCCACCCAGGTGTCCCCCTCTTTATTATTTTTTAAAGATTTATTTTAGGGAGAGTGTGCAAGCAGGGGGGAGGGGCAGAGGGAGAGAAAGAACCCTGAAGCCGACTGTGCCCTGAGCGTGGAGTCTGACATGGGGCTCAATCCCATGACCCCAAGATCAGGAGCAGAAACCAAGAGTTGGAAGCTCAACGAACTAAGCCACCCAGGCGCCCCAAGTTTTTATCTTTTTAAATATGAACAAAAGATACGCTCTTTTTATTAAAAACTGGCATGAACAGGGACACCTGGGTGGCTCACTCAGTTAAGCGACTGACTTGGTTTTGGCTCAGGTCATGATCTCAGGGTCGTGAAATTGAGCCCCTCGTTGGACTCTGTGCTTAGCTCAGAATCCACTTGGGATTCTCTCTCTCTCAAGTAAATCTTTTTTTAAAATGGGCATGAATAAAAAATGTTGCGAAAACTTGTGCAGAGGACGGGGAAGCAGCAAGGTGGCCACAAGAACACTACAGATATTCTTTGGTAAATGCCTCTTGGGGCAAGGGCTCCTCACCATGGTTTACTGCCACCACAGTCAGGCATTCATCATCTCTGGACTTTTGTCAACTCATTTCCTCGCCAAGGATTTTCATCATACAGTTGAGTTCTCAAGAGCAAAGTTATTGGGGCGCCTGGGTGGCTCAGTCGGTTAAGCGTCTGCCTTCAGCTCAGGTCAGGATCCCAGGGTCCTGGGATCGAGTTCCGCATCGGGCTCCCTGCTCAGCGGGGAGCCTACTTCTCCCTCTAACTCTGCCTGCTGCCCCCGCTTGTGCTCACTCGTTATGTTTCTCTCTCTCTCAAATAAATAAAATCTTAAAAAAAGAAAAGAGCAAAGTTATTTTGTGAGAAAAATATTTTGTGGAGAAACACCTAAACATAATTACAGTACCATGTCCTCCTTGTAACAAAGGAAGTAGTCTTGGGACTGGAGTGTGCATATGGGAGGGAGCCTAGGGTGGCTTGGGAGTGTCCCAGAAGGCCCTCCAGAGAAGTCATGCAGTGACAGAAAACTGTCCCTAAAAGCCAGCCATTACCTTTTCATATAGCTACTTCTTTTTCTTGTGAAAGCCAAATTGTCCAGATATTTTCAGCAGTTTCTAAGGATGCTTATTGCCATGACTAAATTTACTTCTTTCCATCTATATCAGCTTTTTAAACTGCAATGGGGTTTTGTTGCAATGTAAAACTGTGTTCCTCAGAAAATTTCAAAAATACTAAAAATGAGAGGGGAAAAAAACTCACCCAGTTTCTCTACTTGTACATTAGCGGTTCTCACCCTGGCTGCACATTAAAATTATCTAGGGAGCTACTTTTAAGAATCAGATTTTTTAAGTCCTGGAAATACAATATAATATACAACGTGGTGACTATAGTTAATACTGTGTTGCATATTTTGACAGTTGCTTAGAGGGTAAAAGTTCTCAACACAAGTAAAACAAACTTTATAACTGGATGGTGACAGATGTTAACTGGATTTATTGTGATGATCATTTCACAATATATACAAATATAGACTACGTAGTACAACTGAAATGTTTTATGTCAATTATACTTCAATTTTAAAAATCGGATTTTTAAAATTGAGGCTGGGCATATGTTTAAAAGCTCTCCAAGTGATTCTCAAGTGCGGCGGTGATTGAAACCTACTATGTAATTTAATAACTCGGCTATTTTTTTACCATCATCTTTTAATGTATAGGGCTTCAATTATTTATTTATTTCCAGAGAGAGACCCCCTCCCCAGGGAGCAGTGGAGGGAAGGGAGAGAATCTTAAGCAAGCTCCATGCTCTAAGCAGGGCTCGATCTTACGCTCTGAGATCATGACCTGAGCCAACATCAAGAGTCGGTAGCTTAACCAACCTAAACCCTTTTTTTTTTTTAAATTGAAGCACAGTTGACACGGGTTTCAATTTTTTAAAATAATCTCCCTCACCCTGCAGTTCTTGTTTGTATATAGAGTATCTTTTGAGTATTTCTCGGTGGCTGCACAGTACTATATGAACAGAATACATTTTTAATAACTAACCTATTGATATTCCTTTTGTTCTATTAAAAAAAACAAACCTTGCCATCTGTACAGTCTTTTCCTTTTAATTATTTCAGGAAATTTCCCATAAGTCAACTTTAAACATCTGAATTACGTACTGCCAACTTGTTCCCCAAGAAATGATAATAATTCCAGCCTTTGTTAATCGAATATTTAGGCACGTTGTGTTCAACAGCTTCCTACGTACGGAAACTGCAACTTAGGACAAGCACCGGCTCAGGCTCCCGGCGACCCAGGGCTGAGCGAAAATCGGAACCGCTATGACTGGCCGCCTGCAGGCGCTCGATTCTGACGAAGTACTGGGGGGCCGGCTGCCCAGCGAGGAACATCTTTGCGGCGCCGGAAAGCACTCACGGTCGCAAACGGCCCTGCTGAGTTAGGGCGCCCATCCGCCCTTCCGCTCGGCTTTTTTGTTGTCATTGGCTGGCGGAGGAGTATATAAGAACGTCATTTCCGCCCGCCTGTCCTTTCCGAGCTACCCGGGGAAGGGTCCATACGGCGTTGTTTTGCGTGAGTGCCTTATGGGGTTCCCCAGCCGCTCCGAAGGCCACCAGAACAGCTTCCTGCCGGAGGGAGGGGTGCGAGGACTGGGATAGAAGCTAGGAGGGAGAGCGGGTCTGTCTCCTGTCGACGCGCTCTACCTCGGCCCGGCCGCCCGCACGTGGCCGGGCTCGGGCCCGCAAGTTCCCACAATGCCCCGGGAGCGGGCGGAGGTCGTGCTGGAGCCGGGGTGAAGGTGCGGACCGGCCTGCAGCTGGGCGGCGGGGCTGTAGAAAGCATGGCCCACGCACTGCGCTGCGATCGCTACGGACCCTGGCACTCGGCCGTGAGTTCAGGCCCAGGCGCCAGTTTACAACAGCTATTTGGGCTGTTGGTTTTTCCCGTTTGTGTTAAGATTCTTGGCAGGGTTTTGCAGAAAATTAGTTGTAACCCTAGAGAGAAATAATTCTGAAGCGCCCGCCTGCAGTCTGTTTGAAAATAAACTGGTTCGCATCCGCACTGCCGTTGCTCATCCATACCTTCACTCCGGGTTACTCTGGAGTGTTACGTGGCAATTCACCATTTTAGTCGTTTAATTATTTAGGTGTTTTTCCCATCTCCACACTCAAAGATTTGCTGTAATTTTACAATGTGTAGGGTATGTCTGTCTCATCCCACTAGACTGTAAACTGAAAGGTGTGGTCCTTGGGTTGCATTTAAATATGAAGGTGTTGGCTCTGGAGTAGTTAAGAATGCCCCTGGTCCCTTAACCCACTTAAGTCACTGGAATGAAAATGAATGGGTTGTTAACTTGTTTTTCAGGTTCCCGTCGTAACTTAAAGGGAAACTTTCACAATGTCCGGAGCCCTTGATGTCCTGCAAATGAAGGAGGAGGATGTCCTCAAATTCCTTGCAGCAGGAACCCATTTAGGTGGCACCAACCTTGACTTTCAAATGGAACAGTACATCTATAAAAGGAAAAGTGATGGTCAGTCGTTTCTTTGATTTGTGGGGAAGGGCATTCCAACTAAGTAATAAATGAAACCAGATCACTACTTTGGAAATAAGCTTTAAAACTAAGTAAAAGTGGGGTGCCTGGCTGGCTTAGTCGGTAGAGCATGCGACTCAATCTCAGCGTTGTGAGTTTGACCCCATGTTGGATGTAGAGATAACTTGTAAGAAATTAAACAAAGTGTTCTGGTGGTTTTGGGAAGGATAGCTTTCTGGGCTTCAGTGCAAGAGTATGTCTATTGATAGGTTATGGGACTTGGGTTGCTCCATGAAAGAGCTGTGAGATAATGATGAGGAAACTCATTAGTTTATTTTCTAGAGTGCTTTGTATTTCACAAGTACTGATACAGGTTTGTTTGAGTTCTGAGAGTAAAGTAGAGCAAGAGATAGGAAAGAACAATTAGGCTTGGAAGGTACTAGAAAACGGAAGGTAGGTTGTGAAGCCTTTGTAGTAAGGCATGTTGGGCAAGGGAGTGCTTCACTCAGAGATGCAGCCACTGAAGGACATAAGCGTGGGAGTAGCATATTGTAAAACAGTTTTGGGTGAATCTGGCATGGAGATAGGTTGAAGGAAGTGGGCCAGGAAGGGGGTAAGAACTTGTAGGAATCCATATGGGGGCCTGATGGAGGCCTAATGCAGGAAAAGAAAAAGATGCACTTTGCCTACTGAATCAAGGGTGCACACTGTTAAAGCTCAAGGTTGAGGCCAGCCATGGCCAATGAACTTCTGAGTGTCGGAAGTGTGCTATAAAAATTGCAGGATTTTCGCTAACACCAGTAGAGCTTGCCTCTATGACTGGAGTTTGATAGTACTCTCTGCTACATTCAGTTTTTTAAAAGAAAATCCATTGCAAATTAGGTCAGGTGTACAAAGCTTTCTGCTATCACCTAGGTATCTACATCATAAATCTGAAGAGAACCTGGGAGAAGCTTCTGCTGGCAGCTCGTGCCATTGTTGCCATTGAAAACCCAGCTGATGTCAGTGTCATATCGTCCAGGAATACTGGCCAGGTTTGTAAACAATATGCTTGGTTTTTATTATAAAAAATAAGCTTCCGGACATTGTGGGATATAGGGAAAAGTATAAGAAAATAAAAATAGTCTGTAATTTAACTACTTAAATAAATCTTGTATTGCCAGTATTCTATGTCTACAATATACATATTAGGCATCTGATGGTTTGTTGCACTTCAGTTTTCAAGAAAGGGTTTCTAATAGTTTACCAGTCCTCCAAGGCTCATCACGTCTCCTAAGAGTAAGAATCTTTGCCAACACAAGTAACTTAATTTTTTTTAGTGGCCAGGGGGGATAAAACTTGTATTTTGCCCCATTTCTGTTTTGACAATTTTTCTGTTGAGAAAACTAGTGAATTTCTTGAAAATTGATTTACAGTTGACCGTTGAACAACACTGTGAATTAGGGGAACTGACCCCATGCATGACTGAAAATCTGTGTAACTTAACTCCCCAAAAGCTTTACTAATAACTTAATGTTGACCTTCAGAAGCCTCACCAATAAGAAAAGCAGTCAATTAACACATTCTGTATATGTATTGTGTTTTTAGGAATAAAGCAAGCTAGAAAGGGAAATACTATGCAGTACCATAAAAAAACCACATAAGTGGATCAGCGTGGTTTAAACCATGTGGTGTTCAAGAGCCCACTAGATTAAGAGCTCTAGTAAGGATTTCAGTCAGCCCATTTCTAATTTGAAAAGGATGTTTGACTTGGATTTTGACAGGTACTTAAATTGTCTAGTGACACAAGTTCTTCTGTACTTGTTTAGATTGATGGTAAAACTGGTTCTCATGAATTTAGGGTGTATTTTGCAGGGGGTTATTCCTCAGAGGCTGGCTTGTGACAGGACTTAAAGTTGGGTGCATAGTAGAAGACAGTTTTTAATTAGTACTGTGAATGAACTTAGTGACAACTCATCGTGGCTTCCCTCAACAAAAATTTACAGAGCATCTATATTGATAGCCCAGGCAGTGTTGCTAGGGGTTTGGGATATAGCAGGAAAACAAGTTTGCCTTTCTGAAGGGATGCAGGAAATACATTTTTATGGAGGTAAAAAGGACGGGAAGGGAAAGAATATGGTATATTCCTGCTTTATATAGGGTAGCTGTGATGAAATTGGACCACATCATGGGAGTGCTTATTGGTTGTCAGGCACTGTTACATTGATGAATTTAATTTTCATGACCCTGTTGGAAGCACACAAGTAACCTGCCCAAGTCACTCACAGGAGTGGCTTTCTTGGTTCTTGAAGCCAGGTGGTGTGGCCCTGGAGCCTCGGGGATTGAGAGTGGGGAGAGCATTCCAGGCAGAGGGCTTGCGGGTGGGGTATGCTTAGCATTTCTGGACCCTAGTTCTGTAAGTAGTTCTCAGGTAGCACAGAAGACAAAGAATTGCTGGGTGTGTGAAGTGCTTTGATGTTTTCATTGTTGAGCAGGGAAGGTGGGAGGGCTCCCAACTCCATGGGCTGCTTCAGGTGGTTACAGAACTGGGTGTCTGCACATGGACACTTGGGGAGTTCTGTGATGCCATCTCTGGAGCACTGCTAACTCTTGATGTTAATTCTTAAGCGAGCTGTGCTGAAATTTGCTGCTGCTACCGGAGCCACTCCTATTGCCGGCCGCTTCACTCCTGGAACCTTCACTAACCAGATCCAGGCAGCCTTCCGGGAGCCGAGACTTCTGGTGGTTACTGATCCCAGGGCTGACCACCAGCCTCTTACAGAGGCGTCCTATGTTAACCTGCCTACCATTGCTCTGTGTAACACAGACTCTCCTCTGCGCTATGTGGACATTGCTATCCCTTGCAACAACAAGGTAACAGTGTGATGACGTTCACTAGAGCCTTGAGAGTGAATGCTCTCGAAACAGTTGGGCATTCCTCTGCACATTGTTAGAGCTTGGAGTTGAGGCCACTGGCTGGCCGATGAACTCACAAGTGTAGGTAGTGTGCTACACGAGGGGCAAGTCTTTTCGCTAACACCACAAGGGTCTCTGGGCCCAATGAGTGGAGTTTGATAGTAATTCTTGCTACAAGTAAAATTCAGATGTGTCAGCTTTAAGGAGAAATCCTTTTTTAAATCGTCTGTGTTTTCTTTTCTCCGTATTTCTTAACTGCTTGGGCCTCAAACGTTACTGGGCCTTTTCGATTTTCAGAGCAACTTGATGAATCCTGCTATAAGGTCCTAAAAAGGTGGGTTGTGTATGGTTCACATAGGTCCAGTTTACTGGTCTCAGAATCTTGGTTCCACATAGGAATCATCCAAAGAGATGTTTTAATACCAGTGTCCAGGCACTCGTTCCAGGTATTTTGTTTGATTGCCTAGGGTGGAGTCTTGACAGTTGTTTTTTTAATTCCCATGGGTCCAGTGACAATCAAGGTTGAGACCCACTAATACACAGAGTACTCCTTGTTAAAAACAAGCACTTAAACTAAGAGACATGTCTTATTTTGTTGATACCAGGGATCTAGATGATGGGACAAATAGGTCGGATGGGGAGGTGCAAGCTGTTGGGGGTTGACCCAAGTGTCACTTCTTAACCTGGCGCTCTTGCAGGGAGCTCACTCAGTGGGTCTGATGTGGTGGATGCTGGCCAGGGAAGTTCTGCGCATGCGTGGCACCATTTCCCGAGAACACCCATGGGAGGTC